ACGGATGCTTTGGTAGTTATCTGCACAAAGTAGTAGGGTGTGAGGAGTCACCAACCTGTCACCACTGTGTCGGAGACAACCGGGACGACGCCCTGCATACACTGAGGGACTGCCCAGCATGGGAAGTGGAAAGGAGACCTTTGTTAGATGCTCTCCAGGGCGAGGACGCAATACTGCCAAACGTAGTGAAAGCCATATTGAGCGCAGGAAATGACGGCTCGTGGAAAATCTTCTATAATTTCTGCGAGTCGGTCATGAAAGTCAAAGAAGAAGCGGGAAGAACCAGGGAGCTTTGTCCCGGAACTCGTCCGCGGCGGCGAAAGAAACCGCAGGCCCGTCAAATCCTCGCCACGTAAAGAGTGCCCAAGCGGGGAAGCAGGGGTCCATGCGTTCAATAGAAGGGATGGTGATCCATCCCTGCAAGCACTGGACCCGATCTCCCCTAGCTATCCATAAAAGCGTATGGCCCGATCTGTGAAGGATACTTGCTGTGTCAAGTATCTTCACAAATCAACAATGGGCGGGGAGAGGCGGACACAACTGCCGCATCGCATGTCGGGAAGCGGATAAGGCTCTGCTGTTACCGCATCCCGCCTAAGGCGATTGTTGGTGGCGCCTTGGGGTTTTAGTGGGTATGCACATTCGCGAGTCCCACATAACCCTCCCGCACTAAGCAGTCGCACCGCGGTAGGGTATGCGCAAGGCATTTCCCCAAGTAAAAAAAAAAAAAAAAAAAAAAAAAAAAAAAAAACGCACATGGTGTAGAAGCATCCTTAAACAAAAACATTCCATGTTAGTAACATGGACTGTGTAAACCCGTCCTAAGGCATCTCCAGATTTGACACCAGGCCAGTTCTGAACCGAAGTTCCTTGAATTCGGCGTTTCCAAGTTTTTCTGGTTGCGTCCCATGTGTAATATCTCGGTACCTCAGCATACATAAGAGTTCTTGCAAACTCATCTCTTATGCAAAGTTCAAAAAAAGCTGTAAGGGTGGTTTTTGGTCGAGTAGATAGTCGCTCGTGGAAATTATCTTCTGTAAAATAAACTCGTTCACCGTTCTCTAAGTGTACACTTAGATGTGTAACGGTGGGGTGCCTTTCGTGCAACGGGAACCCTAATAACCGCCACACGGCTTCGTTGCTGCTAACATAACGACCAGATTGATATGTATGTACTTCATTTACGCGATTTGTAAGCTCTGTGCTCCTAAAATTGAAAATAGAATATAGGACCACCCAACTATTATCAATAGTGACGTAACTCCCATTTCGTAGTTTCACAGATGCCGTTCGACCTCCGTCTGCTGGTGCTCTTCTACGATAGAGTGGGTATCCGTTTTCACTGTGGACAGTGTCTTTGTGTAATTTGCGAGGAAATTTCTTTGTGCATTTTCCATCTTTCATGCAAGGGCACTGAGGATTTTCAGGTCCACATGGACCATGAATCATGTTTTTAACTATAATATCATGAAGTGTCTTGTCAGTGCTTGGATCGGGTATTTCTGCGCTGATAATATTATCAATTTGATCGGGTCTCAACTTGTCTTTTAACCACAATAATATGTGGACATGTGGTAGGCCACGCTTCTGCCACTCTATGGAATACATAAAGCAGATCACTTCTCCAAATATTCTGCCTTTGGAAATAACAGACATAAGTTTTTTAACTTTCAACCTAAAAACTCTTGCGACTACATCATGCCTATCAATCGCGCTTTGACCCGGCATTAATTCATTTACTATTTCCGGCCATGCTGGGTTGCAAGTAAACGTAACGAATAAGTCAGGGCGACCATATGTACGTACATAAGCAAACGCATCCTGAGTATATTCGTGTAAGTACCTCGGACTATTTACAAATGAAGACGGTAAAATTATCATTCTACCAATATCATTTGGATTTAGATTAGCGTCATTCGCTACTGCGTCTTGAAGGTGGATATAATTTTCTGCTCTTAATTTAGTTTGATTTAATGTTATGTATCGTAATCGTTCACTTTCTACCTTAACGTACATATCAACATAAAACTGATTGGCCAGTTGCCTGCATCGTGATATAATATTAAAATCATTTTCTCTAATCATGATATGAAAGGCATAAAAGTCCATACATGATACCTTTTTGTTAGGCAAGGGCAGGCCAGTTACAGGATCGACTTGTGGAATTTGAAAGTGATACCCTTCTTGCCCTTTGCTAAATATTAGCGGATATTGTAACGCATCGTAAAATTTATGTGTATCCGGCACCCTAGTTAGTGTGTTATCACGGGCATGTAAAACTATATCACGGGAAGCAAACTGTTCACCACAAACCATGGCTGCGAGTTCATTTATTAAAGGTGCATTATATCGTCTTTCGTGTTCCCCACTTGGTGTACGATCTGGGTGAATCACCAACTTATAATCATCTCCCGGCATTCTTTCTAAGGCTGTTGTGAAAGTGTTTATTAGGCGGTTATGTTCATGCAACATTCTCTGAATCTTTAAGACAATATCCTTTTCTACTAATTGAATGTTTTGACACCTGCGGTCAACCTCGTCGTTTTCATTTCCCATAAAATAAATCTGTAAAAATTTTGGTTGCTCATTATTTGTAGGAAGCAAAGAACCAATCCTATGATAGATTTGACCTTGGATTGTAAAAGTAGATGAAAACCCAGGCATAACCACCTCATTTTCTACACCAAATGACGTCATTTGAAAGCATGAATTATATTTCCTTATTTTGATTAAAAAACGCCGCGATTCGTTGTTATCACCTAAAAGTAAAGACTTCAATGGTTCCTCTGGTTCTCCAAGTATTGGAATTGAAACCTTGCCACCAGAACAACACATACCCGGAGTTTCTTCTTTCCACTTGAGTGCTTCACAATGTATACATTTTTTATCCATTCCACCTATGAGAAGTAATCGATGGTTATTATACTCAATCGATGGGTCATAATTAAAAGCAGCATTGTGGAATGCTCCCCATTTATACATTGTAAACGCATTTCTCCTTTCTGACTGCCGTTCAGCATTTAACACACGTCGTCTTTGGGATTCTTCTGGCATCTCTGCAGCTATCAATGATGCGTGTCGCTCAGCATCTAAAATCTGCCGGGCCTGAGTCTGTGCATAGGTCTCGGCAGCTCTTTGCGTTGCGTGTCGCTCAGCATCTATAATCTGCCGGGCCTGAGTCTGTTCATAGGTTTCGGCAGCTCTTTGCGTTGCGTGTCGCTCAGCATCTAAAATCTGCCGGACCTGAGTCTGTTCATAGGTCTCGGCAGCTCTTTGCGTTGCGTGTCGCTCAGCATCTATAATCTGCCGGGCCTGAGTCTGTTCATAGGTTTCGGCAGCTCTTTGCGTTGCGTGTCGCTCAGCATCTAAAATCTGCCGGGCCTGAGTCTGTTCATAGGTCTCGGCAGCTCTTTGCGTTGCGTGTCGCTCAGCATCTAAAATCTGCCGGGCCTGAGTCTGCTCCTCAGATTCTTGGGATCTAGCTACTTGCGCAGTTCGAGCTCTTTTAGAGCTACGCGCTAAATTAGATTTACGCTTGCGAGGCATATTACTTAACCAGTTACCTACCTAAAGTAATAAAAACAGGTAAGTACTTATGAAAAAAAAATTCTTTAGCTGACAAAAAAATTTAGTTAAAGGTACTGAGTACGAAACTATACTTAAGGTAGGTACTTATACACATGAAATAAAACAAAAACAAAACGAATTGCTAAACTAAAACTAAATGTTAAAAAAAAATATACTATCCACATGGAATAAAAACAAAATGAATCGATAAAATTATATGCGAAACTACTGGAACTATTTTATTCACAAAACAACATTACTTACCTATTAATACTCAATAAAAACTATGCTGACCTTCTTAGGTACCGTAACTACTTACTAAATGTGAAAAAACTTAAAAAAACCTGCCTACTAATCTACTACAATTTTATACCTATCCTAAAAAATGAATTAAAGTATTTATTTTACCTATTAACTATAATTCTACCTACTACTAACTTATGCTAAACTAATAATAACAACCAAAACAACTAAGTAAATAACACAAAATGCTTATCCAAGAAACCCTAAACACCAATGAAAACGTAAAGAAAGCGAATACGTTGCAGCTCAAAATTGTAGATATCGCATGCGTCCGCCAACGACGTCTGCCCTCACGTAACTGCCCGTTCGGGTAAGCATACTTTGTGATCTACACTCCTCCCACCGAGCCATCCGCGTCCCCCGCACGTCTTTGCCGCCGCGCCGCGCAGCGCGCCCGCGCCCGCCAGCCCCGCCACACCACACCATGCATCGTCACACTTACACATTCATAGTGTATAGGCCGATGGGCCTGATGGACATGTCAGGCAGAAAGTATTCTAAAAGCTGGCTAGGAGTATTTGAATTATGCGATACATAACTGCACCCCGCGTTTTCACCCGCATAATTCCGGGATCGGGATCGGGATAAAAAGTACCCTATGTCCTTTCCCAAGGTTCCATCTATCTCTATACCAAAATTCATCAAAATCGGTTCAGCGGTTTAGGCGTGAAAACGAAACAGACAGACTGTCTATGTCTTTCCCCAAGGTTCCATCTATCTCTATACCAAAATTCATTTAGTAGGCATATACGATACATAACTGCACCCTGCGTTATCTATCACTCGCATAATTACGGGATCGGGATCGGGATCGGGATAAAAGGTTGCCTTTGTCCTTTTCCAAGGTTCCATCTATCTCTATACCAAAATTCATTTAGTAGGGATATACGATACACAACTGCACTCTGCGTTTCCACCCGTATAATTCCGGGATCGGGATCGGGATCTGGATAAAAAGTACCCTATGTCCTTTCCCAAGGTTCCATCTATCTCTATACCAAAATTCATCAAAATCGGTTCAGCGGTTTAGGCGTGAAAAGGTAACAGACAGACAGACAGACAGACAGAGTTACTTTCGCATTTATAATATTAGTAGGGATAAAAATATTAAATACCAAAGCCTTTTTCAGAGTCTCGTGTTTCGAGTGATGCATCATCCCACGGTACCCGATTTCGAACAGTGTGTGTCGTTTGGTGCATTTTCGAATCAACACCAAGAGTTGGCGTATAATGTGGCATGTCTGCTTGCGATGTACTTTATTCCACTCGCCATTATAACTATATGCTACGCTTGTATTTTCTTTGAAATCTCGAAGAATGCTAAAGACATGTCAGGTATGTATTTCGATGTAAAATAATGTTAGCACGGTTTCATATTTTTACTAGGTTAGGTGATTTATATCAAACTAATTTCGTCTTTATTAAAAAAATTTTTTTATTAAAAAATTATAATAAATATCCAAAGTTTTGGTCTGTTCAACAGATGTCTGAAGCCTGTGAGGGTCGTATGCTGTGATTTAAAAACGTACTTAGAGAAGATTAATGTTAGAAAGAAGGTTTCTGCTTGTATAATATTTTTTACAATTTAAAATTTGGGGTATATAATATGCTGTAAATTTAAAAAAAATCAGTATTGTAACACTATTTTAACTCTTTAGTAGATACTCATCTTTCTATTTAGTGTCAGCGTAAACCTTTACCTAAAGCTTTAAGCGCCCTTTTGAAACAAAAATAATATTTAAATACTACCTCACTAAATAAAATTAACAAGAATGTCTACAGTTTTAAATTTTTTTTATTAATTTTTTGATCGGTCTATCTGGTTTGTGAACGGCCACGTCATCTTTTGCCTTCTTTGTTACCAACCACAATCAGTTTCCCCACGTTCTCATCGCCTCTACGTATTGTATGGCCGAAATAAGATACGATTCGCTATAGTCATTTGGAAGACAGACTAGAGTATTGGTACGCTTCGCAGTCCACGTTATTCTGAGCGTTCGCCGCCAGCACCGCATCTCACCATGTCAGAACGTATCAGTCTTATTTTGGTTTTGACACCAATTGCTCTTTTCTTCCAGATATTGCCGATATTGTTATGTCTTTAGACAATTGGGAGTCAATTTATCGAAGATTAAATATTCTATTCCAGACAATAACCGTTAGAATGAAAATTTTCTGTAAAGAATAGGTTCACATTTCTTAGAATGTTAACGTAAATAAATTTTAAAGTAGTGTCCAAGAAACTTGGATGTCGACAATTTTTGCTTTAAAATTTCTTATTTGCATAGCTTGCACGTGTTCAGTAATATATTTTTTCTTAAAAGGAAATCAGCTTTTCCCTTTATATAAAACTGTAGACATTCTTGTTAATTTTATTTAGTGAGGTAGTATTTAAATATTATTTTTGTTTCAAAAGGGCTTTAGGTAAAGGTTTACGCTGACACTAAATAGAAAGATGAGTATCTACTAAAGAGTTAAAATAGTGTTACAATACTGTTTTTTTTTAAATTTACAGCATATTATATACCCCAAATTTTAAATTGTAAAAACATATTATACAAGCAGAAACCTTCTTACTATACATTAATCTTCTCTAAGTTCGTTTTTAAAACACAGCATACGACCCTCACAGGCTTCAGACATCTGTTGTTTCGCCAAAAGGTTATGTTTTCGGCAGCGGTGATAATTGTCCGGAACGCGGTCTAAATAATCACTTCTAGCAAGTACACCCTTTCCATCCCGTTATTATCCTCAAACTAAATGGGAACAAGGCTAATATCAGTTCTAGTGATTCCCTAAAACTGTATAAATAAGCAAAAAAAATCCTTATTGATATTTTAATAATTGGTTTTCGGAATGTAAAAACGTTTTGAGTTAACTTTTTCGTGATCATAAAATTTCTGACTTTGTGGTTTACCATTTTGTGAAATGGCCAGGTAAATATGAATTCATATAATAAATAATCGGTATTTAAAGATTTTAATATAAAAACTTATAGTTACACAAACATGTTGAAATCGTTATTGTATTAATAGAGATTTAGAACATGGAACAAACAATAAAGAATAGGTACGGGCAAGATTCTATGATATATTATAAGGCTTGAAAATAAAGCGACGCTTTCAACTGATGTTTTTTTAATTGTCAAAGAATCTAAAGAGCCAATTAATTATATTAGAATTCATAGTGAAAGCAGCGGTAGAATATAAAGCCTCCTTTTTAACATTAAACTTCTACCAGTTCTTATATTAGCGATGCCGTCAAACATTGATTATAATATTATCAGACAAACTTTGTGTCCAATTTAAATAAAAATAAACTTGAATCCCCTAACATCGGTACTTGAAGGCGAGGTCAGAGCTCCCGTGGGAAGTTGACTTAACAATTGGCGGGCTATAACATCCGCCCACTCTCAGTGTAAACCCAAAAAACATTGAATCCATTAAACAAAAATAATGAATTGAGTTTTTTTCACTAAATTATTTTATTAATTCCTCGCGAACAGAGCACTGGCTGCATCACTAGATTTGCGCAATACACTCTTGCTTGTACGACAAAAGATATCATGATATAAAATATCGCGAGGATCTATTTGTTATATTTTCCTTGATTATTTTTAAATGGATTTAGAATATAATAGTTGTCTCTCTGAATTCTGAGTGAATGTAGACAGTTTACAATGATAATAATTAGGAGAGGCGATACGATTTTATAGTATGTAAAAACATTTGATATTGAGACCGATTCAGTTCGGGGGTAGTTTCGTTATTTTGAATTGTTGGGGGTTTGAATAGGGAAATATCTTTTACAGGTAAATGTTTGCAGTCAGATCAGGGCAGGATCCAACTGCGAAGATCAGATCATAGACCATTGGCAAGAGCACGTCGGCGAACTTTAAGAATGACCGTGACCATTGTTAGTGTCTTTGCTTGCTGTTGGCTCCCGTATGCAACAATGACACTATGGTAAGTTTTTCAGAACAATACAACCATCTAAATAGTGAAAATTTTGATTGATTACAATCAAGTACAATACAGTATTTACAATTTTCTTAACCTATATAGTAATAAGAAAAATTATTAATAAGAAAATCAAAACAAATTTAAAAACTTTGGTCCCTGTGGCAGTGTACCTTTAACGCTGGCAGCATTTCCTCGCTGTATTGCGATACTTATTTGTTGAGCCAGGAAAGCACCAGCTCTGTGGTCACCGGTACTATCTAACAGGCGCCAACTTAAATCTTTAATAACTGTGTCATAACGTTATCAAACCATCTAAATAGTCAAAGATGAATTTCTAAGATAATATTATTATATTAAAAATAATACACGTTTTATTGACTAAATTAAATATAAAAAACAACACATAACTAGGCTTGCTTAAAGGTACAGTAATATTTATTGTAATAATTACACGTGTGTGTTTCTCTAAAACGCCTGAATATTTATAGATTTGAATTTATTTATAAAAGTTCATTAGCGGATGTAAAGACGAACTTATTACATTAACATAAGGTTTAAGTGCTTTTCATCTATGCCAATTTTCATGTAATATCACAGATGGTGTTTAATGGTACTAAACAAAAACGCAAATAGGCGAAGGTTTCGTGGCACCGACACGTTCTTGTTGGCTTATATTTTAGGTATGAAATATGACATCAAAATACCTTCATAAGCTATTTACTTTTAAAAACTAAGAAACATATTATTAAATTGCTCTGTCCTTTTGATTGTAAATGTTGAATGTCATTCAACTGTCGTCAAGTTAAGTCCTTGTATTAACTTCACTTGAAGTTTGCGAACTTGGCACATTAAAGCACGTAGTCGTTTAAGCAATTATACAACGTATTAAAGTCCACATCTCGCAGTTTTTAGACCCATATTTTGAGAGGCCTAGAATTTTTATGATGCCTGCTTAATTCGTACAAATTTTGACAACGTCAGGAATTAAGTTTTACAGTACCATCAGTACGAGCGCAATACTTAAAAACACGGCAAGCTATTTAGTTAAGGTGAACATCTTCAACAACAACAGAAATAGGTTTTATTTTTCGCCATTTTATCATCATATAAGCGTTCGTGTTTTAAATAAATTCATTATACAAAAACCCTAAGTCTCTTACAAGCGTGTTATTTGTTTTTTTAAAAGGATTACTCTATATAAAAGATATTGAGAAATTGTGAATGTGATTACTATACATGAATATAATTCACACAGTCATCACAGTATAACACAGTAGTGAAAAAATAGAAAAAAATGATAAACATAAATTGTGATCAGGATGACATAATTCTGAAACTGTATTTTCGTTTTAATACTAGAACTGAAATGGCAATAACTAGTAACACAATAGCTATAAATATTACACAATAGAAATTATGCTAGTTTTATCAAGTATATGTGTTCTGTAAGAGAACGTACATGATTGTAAATTATTTTAACATGATATCGATAAAGTATAACACAACACGATTACAAACAAGGTAAGGGTTCACAAATTATATAGGTTTGGGTACAGTTATCAAAGGTATAATCTATGTTAACGTATTTGTTCAAATCAGGTACATGTTCGATCGAAAATCAGCCATGAACGTCTCTGCCCGTATCCAAGATCTTTTCTTCATAATGGCAGTTTCGAACTCTTGTGTGGACCCACTCGTGTATGGATCTTTTACCCTGGATATGAATATCATCCAAATGATTTTGAAGAAGGTGTTATGTATTCACGGAGAAAATCTTGATGGTGAGTACTGTTATTTGTATGATTAGATTTGTATCAGCCATGTCATTTTGCGTTTTATTTATATAAGCGCGGCAATTACTTAAATCGTTAAGACCCGTGAGAATTGCTAGACGCAGGCACTCTCTTGATTGAAATAAGTAATAGTAGCGCTTTTGCATAGCATTCCATAATCGGTTGTACGTGAGTGGATAGTATTACAATATTTTATATTTATATCCTCCGTAGTTTAAAGTATACAGTATAGGGATCCAGAACCCGTACAAGATTATTGCCTCACTGCTCTAGCTCTAGCTGCATTTATGTCTAGGATTCAAATCCCGGGTGAGGCTGAAAATTATAAACACTCATTCCGATTTTTCAAGAAAAAAAGTTTCAATTTTTTCAAGCCCGTTTTATGCCCGTTTTGTGCCTTTCCACACACACTTGTATAATATATAATAATATTTCATGCGATCAGTCTCAATAGAGCGTAACTACTGCTACCGTGGCGGCCTGAAGAATATTATTATTAGGTTATTATATAACGATATATTGAAATAGCTTTCTACTATAGCCGAATATGAAATCCGCCATTTTTTATAAAACCCTTCAAAGCAAAAATGTTCATAATAAAGTTTACAGATTTGATGAAGCAAAGCTTAGTAATTCAAAGTTAAGTTTTATCCAATCATCTGCTTACAAAAGACCGCGCCATACCAACTGCTGTTGGATGCTTGTTTAATTGCTTTTTTTCATTTAATCAAAGTTCAGTCCAACTCCTTTGTAAAACAATACTTTGCTAGAGAGTTACTTTCCAGTTTTTCTCATTGGTTCTACGTCTATGATTTGAAAACTGTCAGGAAATTAATTTGACGTTCATAAGTGTGCAAACGTTATCAAAATTAATAAATTTATACGTTATAGGTAAAACTGCTCCAGCGTACAGCAGAAAATCGCAAGGCGCTGTTTTGGTAACGAAGGTATGTAAGTATAGTTGTCACTTTTTTATCACTTGCGATACCTTGAAGGCTTCAATCAAAACCCAGCATCAAATAGTCAATATCACATAAAACTCTTATGTACTTTACCAACTCTACGTATAGTTTTGCCCTTTAATAATTCTGTAACTATTCATTGTAAAGTATATGAATGGGTTTCGAAACTCGAATTTCATTATTACTTTAAGCATTAATACGTCCAAAACTTTTCCCTCTTTACATAGCTATTCACATGCCTCAAATCGTTTTTGATCATATAACACATGTCTAAATATAAATTGCCGCATGAAAGTCAAATTTACAAACTCGGTGACATGACAGACCGCTTTTACTACTTTGACCCGTTTAACGAAAGATATTAAAATTGTAAATTCGTTTGAAAAAAATCTAAATTTCTTTCATATCAAATTATTTTTGTTATTTGGGAAATATTTGTTTCTTTGTATTGAATTATTTTACCAAATATATGTATTTTAAATAAAAATCTAGTACAGAGATAATCCAATTTGAATCAGATTGGATCAGTTTCTTTGATCTTTTAGATTGGTAGGCGATCAGCCTTTTGTACCTGACACCAAAGTGAAGTCGATTTTGGGTCGAGACATGCCAATTTCATTACAATGTTTGTCTTCATTTCGGGGCTAATTGTGCACTTAAATAGAAAAATAAATTGGTGCCGGGATTTGAACGCACGCGTTAGCGTCGAACACTACTCATTTAAATGTTGTATTATATCTTATTAACTGCAACTTTTATCTTTGGACACGTGCAATTTTTATGTAATGCCTGTAGAAGTCTTTGATGTGACACCGATAATTTTACTTTGTTTGGATTAAGTTGAGATGTATAAAACGTATTGGAATTACTTATCCATATATGTCCTATCAAATATATATACACAGTGGTGGTCGCATAATTAGAAACACTACCAACAGTCCTTGACGTTATGTAGGATACTTCACCGAAATTGTTTTTATTTTTAAAATTAACAATAAATAGGACTACAATATGTTCGCTAAGGAAAAATTTGACGCTATTGGCAGTGTGTCATTGTCCTGCTGAAAGATCCAGGTTACAGGGAAATGATTGTCCGAGTAGGGAATCATTGTGTGCTCTAAGATATTTTTCTATTGCCATTGATCCATTGTACCTTCAATCTTCCGAACGGGTCCAAATCCACATCCGGATAAATACCCCTAAACTTTAATGTTATCGCCACCGTGCTTGTACGTCTAGCATAGCACTTTCCATCGAAATTTATCATATTTATTTTTGTTTCATCTGAAAATAACACTTTTTTCTATTCTCGTACCGTCCAATTAACATATTTTTTGCGAATAATAATCGCTTCTCTCGGTGTTGCTTGGTAACAAGTGGTACCTTTTGAGAGATTCTGCCAAACAATTTAGCTTCCACTAATCTTCAGCGTATCAGTTCTGACAAGATGTTTCTCGGCGGTCATCAAGCGAAAAAACTTCATTTTTAATCTGGTTGGAGCCTTTACTTGGGTCTTCTTTAGCAACACGAACGATTAGCGTATCTTCTCTAGGAACGGTTTGTCTTGGCCGAGCCTTTCTAAGACCATTTTCAACAGTTACGTGTGTTTTATAAAGATCAATTGCATTAAAAACTTGCTTAACAGAACAATTTAAATGCTTATCTATTCTTCTGTACGCCCAATTATTTGCCTAGTTGACAGTCACAACTTTTATTTTTGCCCATTTTGAACAAAATAAAATTAAGATTAAATTTTGAATTCCCGCCAAAATAATAGAAAAAGTCAAGAAATAAATGTTATTCTCCAATTTCAAATAAAGAACGAGCTATGGATGCTTTTTTATAATGTTTCTATTTAGGCGTCCAAGCAGAAAATGAACTCCTACATGTGTCAGATTCATTTTGTAATTAAAAGTAAGATATGTTTTATGTTTTATACATTTAATTAGTTTTTTATTAGAGTGGCTATATTTCTTGGAGAGATTCCAGACCAAAGCTCTGAGCACAATGTTTGGCATCCTTCAATGTATAAGCAATAGGTACATATACCTCGACCTCGGCCTGAAAACAGTTCGACAGGAAATAGCTCAAAACAGCCTGAAATACCAGGAGAAGCTGACCTCCCATGTAAATAAACTGGCACACGCTCTGAGCGGAGAAGGCGGTCTTTAGCATAAGCGGCTAAAAAGAAGGGACGTACCGAGCCTATATAAAAGATTTACCTCTTGACATCAAGAGAGTCGTGTGAGAGGCTTCATACAAGTATGGCTCTTGAGGATAACATGAACTGAGTAAAATCAAACAAACAAGTGACTTATTGCTGGATAGCAGATTGCCCCATGAAGCAGATACAAAAAAAAAAAGAGTGGCTATATTATTGCATTGAATGTGTATATTTTTTACCAACATTTGTACGTCAAAGTTATACTTTATTACATAAGAAGTGCTTCTAATTATATGACCACCACTGTATATATATAATTATCATTAAATGTAAGGTACCTGTATATTATATAAACATTTTGGTAAATAAACGACTTTTCATTACACGACCTTCAGAAGTCAAAGAACGTCAATGCGTTTAAACCTAGCAACGCAAATAATAATTGTTATGGCATAGCAGAAAATATATTATTCTATGTATTATATATGTCGGAAATTCACCGTGATTAATAATTACAAAGTTGGTATCACTACCGTCGTCGTACATTATTACTTAATTACTTAATATTTAAACACAGTCAGTGCGCACATCCGGCGCAGGCGCCGATCGGAAAGCAACTCAAGCTCTTCACGACCGATTCTACGCACTACTGACAGCTCGACTTTGACAATTGACACTTTACAACCAAGATGTCTATGATATTGCGTGGTGTTGCCATTACGTGGTGTTGCCATTGTAATCAAACAAATTACACCGTGTTCTATTATAACCTAATCTCTGACACGGCCATTCTGATAACCAACGCGCTCTCGCGTTGCTGCTGCATGTCACAGCCAGCCTAATTGCCGTTTCACCACGCAAAACATAAGTAAAGCTTTTAATAGCTTTCAACTTCACACCAATCAAGGCGTAGATGCCTTCGTATTACAACTTTATTGGATAGAAAAGCGTTAAATCTTTCAACACTTCTTACAAGCAGCACATCGAACACATCGCAAAGCGTCCCAGCTTTCAGCATCACCATTGTTAAAATAAATCTAAGGTTAAACCACAGGAAAGCGTCCAAGCTTTCATCATCAACATTGCTCAAATAAATCTAAGGTAAAACCACAGCAAAGCGTCCAAGCTTTCATCATCAACATTGATCAAATAAATCTAAGGTTAAACCACAGGAAAGCGTCCAAGCTTTCAGCATCAACATTGATCAAATAAATCTAAGGTTAAACCACAGGAAAGCGTCCAAGCTTTCATCATCAACATTGATCAAATAAATCTAAGGTTAAACCACAGCAAAGCGTCCAAGCTTTCAGCATCAACATTGTTCAAATAAATCAAAGATTAAACCACAGCAAAGCATCCAAGCTTTCAGTATCAACATTGTTCAAATAAATCAAAGATTAAACCACAGGAAAGCGTCCAAGCTTTCAGCATCAACATTGTTTAAATAAATCAAAGATTAAACCACAGCAAAGCATCTAAGCTTTCAGCATCAACATTGTTCAAATAAATCAAATATTAAACCACAGGAAAGCGTCTAAGCTTTCAGCATCAACATTGTTCAAATAAATCAAAGATTAAACCACTGCAAAGCGTCTAAGCTTTCAGCATCAACATTGTTCAAATAAATCAAATATTAAACCACAGCAAAGCGTCCAAGCTTTCAGCATCAACATTGTTCAAATAAATCAAAGATTAAATAAAACCTACAGCAAAGCGTCCAAGCTTTCAGCATCAACATTGTTCAAAAAAAAATCAAAGATTAAACCACAGCAAAGCGTTCAAGCTTTCAGCATCAACATTGCTCAAATAAATCTAAGGTAAAACCACAGCAAAGCGTCCAAGCTTTCATCATCAACATTGATCAAATAAATCTAAGGTTAAACCACAG